GGTCACCTCTTCTGACCTAAAGAAATTATCGTTTTGTCCCAATGTGATAAGGTTGCGATCGCTGCAACAGTAAGAATTTCATCGGTACAGTCAAAGGTGAGTGTTTGGTCTTGCAGTCGAAAATACGTCTTAGAGTCTCATTTGCATGGTTGCAAGACGTTTGTTCCGTTAACTTACAGATAATTTTGCTCATTTTAGGCTTTGAAAAAGGCGATCTGCCGAAAAGAGCCAATAAAGTGATTGAAAATTTCGCGTGTTGCTCAACAGCAATGAATTAACAAGTATTACACAATGCCAGAATTTTCTAATTCACATCGTCTCTAGCATATTTTGGGTGCTGGTACTAGATCGTTCTAAATCTACTGTTGAAACCAAGTGGGACAACGATTTTTCGACATGTTACTGACGAAAAATCTATATATTATTTGGCAGACAATTAATATATAAACTTTAATCAGCATTATCTAAATCATATTATGTTGATTGATAGATGACTCGTTAAGCTAATTAATAAGAGTACTTTAACAATTCATTGGCTTTCCTTCCGTTTAGATTTTCTCGTGTCATAGAAGAGATAGCAGTCTGGATTGAGACTTGCAAGGGTCTAAATTGATTGAAATTGCGAAATACATTAGAGTTGATGTTTGGTGGGCGTCGTCATTAAGAGACAACGAAGTCTGCACTCACAACGTATTCGGGATCACAAGGGCCAGCGAGGTGTATTTTTTTGGGTACCTTGAACCCAACTCTTTCATAACATCCAGCATCTTCCTAAATTTAGGTTTAACAAGAAAACTAATATCTTCGCTTTATTGTTCAATACAATTTACAAACCCTCGACACGCTATACTTTGCACCTCTTGCAGCGGGACTTTTAGCTAGAGTTGGATTATCAGTATCCTCCTGAATAAATATATATATATATATATATATATATATATTGTCTATTAATTGGCAGCGTAGAAGGTTACAAACCTTCCACACGTTAGATCTGCCAGTTGTGACAGGACTTTTCGCTGGAGTACCTTCCTGAATTAATTACCCCTAAAATCCTTTTCCCAACCCTTTGTACACAGGAAGGCCACTAACCGCTGACATAAAGTATTTGTCATCTTTTGAACGGGGGCTTTTGGCTGGTGTACCCGTATCTTCCTAAATTAGTAACTTATTGAAGTTCATCCTAACCTGTACAGAGACTACTAACCCTTGACATGTTGTATCTGTTATCCTTTGAAACTGGGCTTTTAATTGGAGTACTTGCATGTTCCT